AATCAAAAAGAACAGAAAAAAGAAAACAAAAAAAACAACAACAACAACTACAACAACAACAACAACAACAAAAGCAACAACAAAGAAAAAAAAGACAGAAAGTATACTTTTACACCGTTGACCACAGCGGGGCACACGAAAAGATAGCCCCCCACCGAGAACACACACCCCAGGGGCGTCCTTAGTACCCGATTAGAAAGGCCGGGGGCGAGTGGCAGCGAAAACGACTCGCCTGATGCTTCTCCGTTCGGCGAAACGATTTTCTCCGGTATCGTTGATTTTGCCTCTCGCACGAAGACATTCTTCGAGCTTCACGCTTTGACTATGCCCTCCTCTTGTCTTACCGACGATGACTTGCTTGTCTCGCACCCTATCGCGAACACCCACGCTACTTTTTCCCGTTTGTTCGAGACTTCGGAGGAATACAGTTCGCCTCTTTTGTCCTGAGCCTCGATCTCAAGGCTAAAGATTCTTATACGCGCAGAAACTTGCGGCGATCGCTACAACCGATAGGTTTGAGTATTTCAAGCTTTCACAATGCACGTTGCGCTCGAACAAAAAGTGAAAAGACACGGACCCATTGCTTGTATGGTCTGACGGAGGAAAGTGGGATGTAACAATGGAAAACAAAATTCTCTATAGTTCCGTCTCGGTCATTTGTTTCTTCCGCACCAATATTGACCATGCGTCGAAAATAGAGGTGGTCCAAGCATCGTGAGTGGAAGAGTCCCCTTGCCTCTGTGCACTTTTAAACTTATGGCCGGCGCTGCGATCAGAAGAGGCGAATTGTATTATGATCAGAGTCCAAAGTTCCTGGGTGTTAGCTGTGTCCATTAAGGATGGCTTGCCGACCGTTTGCTAACTTTGCAGATGGCATCAGCAGAGGTTTAAGCATTCACCGATCCTGGTTAGCTAGAAGCGCTTCTTATTTAATAATAAAATTACCTAACTAGTCAAACTGATTCACTTTAGGATCTTCATTTTGCAAGTATTTACGTTATAAATGCATTTTTGCGCATATTAAGAAACTTATTATTGTAGTTTTGATTATAAATTCGATATAAGTTACTTTAATCAGTAGTTTTAGTGTTTAGTACCATTCTGACTTTGTCTAGTTTCTCAAATTGCGAAAGTGTATGAGTATTTATATTTAGAGAAATTTAAGAAGACTGAATCGAAAGTCGCTGTAATTGCTCGGTAGTTTAATAAGCGTATACTTTATTCGGTTTCGGGAGTGAATGATTATCAAGCAAGTGTTTTTGATTGATCAGCTGATCAATTTAAAGAAAACGCTGATGTTGCCAGCTGCTGTGCTAGCGAAACATCAGGAAATCATTTCCAATGGACACTTTTCGTACCTGGAAACGATGAACACTTGTCATACTTTTTTTCCTGTTTTTTTTTCGTACACGACACACGAGAAACTAACTGTTTGCTCACGAATTGATGGGATTCGTGACGACTGTCGCGCGTTTCTGATGTGATGTTGGTGTTTTTGTCGACATTGATGATAATTGATGTTTCTTGGATGGTTTTCATTCCTTTTGTGAACGAGTTTTTGTCTGGTGACCGAGTGAAAGGAGGATTGAAGGGTTTAGCGATGGGGAGGTTTTCTGGGAGATAAATGTAGTGCTTGTTTGGCAATTATTATTATTTTTAGTGTATTCGGTTGTACGTGGAATTGTAGATTAATTACGGATGAAGATGTAATATATACGTTTGTAATTGATTGTGAATTAAAAATTCGTTTATCGTTCAATTTCTAATATTTCGTGATTGATGGAAATGAGAAGCTTCCCCTTTGGTCCTTCTAAGGTTAATTTAATTTTTGATGTGATTATATGTTACCAACTGCCTTTGAAGTCAATCTAACTTGAAACTTCATACTTGTAATGTGAAATATTGATCCTTTGAACCTTTCAGTTAGAAAATTAATTGTTCTGAAGGACATTTTACGGAAATTGTGGTCTGAAGTCTTCGATTAAAGTTCCTTGTCGATATTGGATAGAATTATATAGTCATTCTAATGGAAATCGTGTCAGATATATTTTACGTCGTTCAAACAAGACTGTATTTAATAATATTGTACTTTTTGCTGGTATTTTTAAGCTGTCGAGATCTTTTGTACGATCTAGCGTGATCATTCACTTGGAAAATATTACGTTCGAATATTCTATTTAATGCATTTTATAAAAGAAACTTTTATCATATGTCTTCAGAAATGTTTAATATCTGAAAGTTATACTTTTATGGAATTGAAAGTGCTTAAAAAAATTATAACCGATTCAGTTATTGTACGAAGAAACGAAGATATCGAAAATACCTTACTCCGACGAAACTCCTTTATCGATATGTCGCCTCTCAAGGGAACTGTGTAGTTCGAAGTACATCAAGTTGATTGCAAAATATAAAATGTAGAGAAGCTCCCCGAGAATCGTATTACTCCGGGAGCAAACGGACATGGCTCGATTGTCAGTGCATCGAATCGAGAAGCAATATCACAAAACTTCAAATCGAAACTTCTCAAATTTACGATAACAGCCGGAAACTTTAATCCCAGACTTCTCTGAAACAAACGAAAAGACCACGAAGAAATTTCTGTATATGTGTAAAAGTAATCCAAATTTTAAAAAACCGAATTTCCAAAATAAATATAAAAAAGACATTAAGATACTATACAAACTTATATCATGTAATTAGAAGAAACAATAGTTTTCGTTTCCACTGTTTCACTGTGAAATTAAGAACAAAAAAATTCAAATGCGAAACGAAAAATATTCAAATAATCACTTAGAACTCTAACATAATTTTGTTGTTGTGTTCTTTTAAGAGAAAAAAATGGTAAAGATTGTTCTACCTAATCACATAATAGAAGTTCAGTGCCATATTGTCTTTCGCATAAATGCTTAAAAATCCACAAAATATGGTACAAATATTCATATAAGAAACTGCGAAGCAGAGAATCTCTCCATTAACAATCAAGGGAAAAACGAAGCGAAGGAAACTTCGTTTTCATTCGTCTCAATTTTCGCTTGAACATCGACGAACTCAAACACTCCAGTGTTTATATTACACGATAACCATCTCCGCAGATCGTGTTAATGGATTCTTTTTCCATTCCCTTGAACCCAAAGAAACTGCTCCATTGTTCCTTTCGCCTTGATCTCCCGTGAAGATGAAAAAGGACTGTCAAAGTGTCCCAAGGAGCGTTTTTCCCCGATCACTCGGAAATCCTTAAATCCTTAAATCCTTGCTTCTTAATCGATCACTGTCCATTATAAACGAGTGTTTACCCTTTGCCGGGGATAATCGTTGTTCTAATCCAGATGTGTATGTGTGTGCAATCGCGTGTGCTAATGATAATGTCGGTGTTGTCGTGTCGTTGGCCGCGTATTATTTATTCGACGCGGCTGATTGCAGAGCGCGAGACTTCGCGCGCAGTTTATCAACGACCAGGAAAACATTGCCGCGCGTAACACCATGAAAGAGGACTACCTGGAGAACAACAATTATTACGGCGGGCTTCGAGGGGGAAGACCGTTCCCTGCCACCAACAGCAGCTTGGTCTCGGCTACGAGGATACTGAATCAGCACCTTTTCGGGTCCGGCAGCGGGCCCAGACAATACACAGGTGCGTCACTGGTATAGTAATTGTTCTTGTACAGTTGAACCTCGATTATTTGAACCTTGATTGTTCGGACTTTTGAATATTCGAAGTAGTAATACTTTGTTTTCTTATTTACTTTGTAGTCTGATTACGTGGACTTTCGATTATTTTCAATCGGATTGTCAGAATTCTCAATCATTTAAACTCTGGTTATCTGAATTCTCGAATATTTGACTAAAGATTAGTTGAACCTTCGCTTCCAAACTTTTGACTATTCGAACCAGTGATATGTACATTGTTTTCTTATTTGGTAGTTTCGTTATCTGAGTATTTAATATCTTTATTAATATCTAATTTAATATAATTTCTTGAAATGAGCATTTAATCCCTTCAGACCTCGCACATATTGCAATTACTAAACTTTTTAATAATCATCGTCAATATTTCTAAAATAAATCGATTCAACAATTTTCCTCTTATATTTTAAAGTATTCAGTTATCTATATAAAACATAAAAATAAAAAATCTTATAATTGACACTTTAAATGCTAATTTAATTAAATAAAATTTAAATAACTGAAAAGGTTAAAATAACATTTTCTCCGAGCAATGATAAAAATGCTGGAACATGATTTTGAAATATCTCGTTGTAATCTCGGAGATAGATGGTAGCGAGCCACAGATAATCCCGAAACAAATGGCGGCAGCGAACGTGCTGAAAATAAGAAGGAAAAAACCTGCCCTGAATACCGTGTATCTAAGATTGACGTAATCGTTTTCCCATTTCTCTGATAATTCTGCGAGCGAGTATCGGCCAGCGCATTCATCGCATTCTTCCATCCTCTTCCCTTGTAACGCGTTCCTTCGCGGCTTTCGAGATGATTCGGGCCACGTTCGCCCGTCAATTCACCCTTTTATCGATTCCGGTTGTATTCTAGGTCAGAACGGTACCCCGTAAACATCGCACGTGCAAGTCATCGAAGGGAAAGGACAGTACTGGAAATAGGCGAAATTTTTTGGTGCAGACCACTGAGAAATAAAACTTCTTTCATATTATATTATTGAATTAAATAAAAACAATTTTGACATGTTTTTTCCTTTGAAACGAATAATGTCTGTTTTCAAACTGTTATAACGTGTATAAAAGACACTACTTTCTTTGTTTTTACTTAGTATTGGTTTAGCCAGCGAATAGTTGAAAATTCTTCTGTTTATTCCTTATAAAAAAACGTTAAAACTTTGGCATCAATTGAATATATTATTTTATACTATAGAAAATTAGAGAAAATGCAGTTTAAAAATGATAATTGAAGAGGATGAACAGTTACGTCGACAAAAATGACAAATGTTATTTCCTTCCCAGCAATTATGTTCTTAATAGATTATCATCGGAACGAAATGCGATTGAAGGGTTGTAATTATATTGTGCCTAGTTGTTGTAATTTAATTGTACCTAGATTTTAGATCTTACCAACATTTTCAATATCAAATAAACTTTAAATATCATCGAAATTTTTAAATCTCTTTCAACTACCTTCGATAAAAAGGTTATCAACCACAACATTCCATATCTCCAAAAAAAACCCTCATTCTTACCAATACTCGTACGAAAACTCCTAGCCGAAGCATTTTCAATAATTGATTACCGGTACATCGAAATTACCAAAATTTAAATATCACAGAAAGTTTAAATATCCTCAAAACATTGCCAAAATTTCAAATCGTCTTTCGTCCACCTCCGATATAACGTTATCAACCGCAACAATCGACATTCCCAAGAACCCCATATTCCTACCAATACTCCTACCAAGACTCCTTCCAGCCAAATGCATCGGTATTTAATTGCCTATACACCGCGACATAATTATTTCATAGTGGCCCGATTGACGTGGCCGGTCGATAAAGTGTAAAACTTGCCCTTCCAGGTACGAACACCGAAAGCAAGCTCTCCCTGTCCGCCGACTCGATAGACGGCGAGGGTGTGCCTTTCATAGACAGACACCGGGCGGTCTCAAAGTCGATCCTGAAGAAGTCCGAGAGCAGCAACAACTACTACAACGCTGGTGACTCGGACACCGAGAAGCTGATCACGGACAACGCGTCCACGGTCAGCGTGTGCGACAACGAGACGAGTGGCACCACCGGGGCCGTGTTCGCCGGCGTCGACGGGACGAAGGCTAGGCAGCAACCTGTTTCGCCGTTGCTCTCCAGACAGGTCCTCGAGTCGATCTTCCGCACGAACAATAACGTCGAGAGGGAGGACGAGGCAGCCGATCAGTCGGACGAGAAGAGCTACGCGTCGAAGATCACCAGGTCGATATTCGATGACGTCCTCGAAGGTACTTTTGTTTCCCTTTTGTTCGCGCGGCACTCGATCAGCTTGCCCGCCGTGGCCGGAGCTCGACGCTGCGTTGGCCGAGAGAATTGCTTTTTCGCGATTGAAGATTTGCGGTGTGGGGATGGTGAGATTGTTTCGCTGTTTTTTACTCTTTTCTTGGAATTGATTGGTATTAGCTGATCTTTAGAGATTGATTCGGTTTTCGATTGGTTTTTGCGTTGGTTAGACTTTGTTGGTTTAGATTGGATGTAGACTGCTCACTTGGGGAAAGTAAGAGTTGCAAGGTGTTAGATTAATATTGGTTAGATGTTTGTTCGTTTGGGGTTTTTGTGGAATGTGTATGTTAATTTGGGTTTTGTGGATGTTTGGAAGTTTTGTTGGGGTTTGGAAAATTGTGATTATTGAATTGAGGGGTGTTTTATATTTACTTTATTATGGGGAATAGAAATCTGATAAACGAGACTTTATTGAAATTTCCATTGAAAGTGATAACATATGGTGTGACATTTGGGTTATCAATAACTCCTCTTCGTTATATTTTCCAAACATCTCAAACAAGATGCATCACACTCGATAAAACACTGTAAAGATAATTGCCAAATCTGTCACCACCAGCGAATATTAATCAAAAAACATTATTCAAACTGCATAAATACCAAAATCACCAATGGAATACACTCACTACAAAGTCAATCACCAAACCACACCAAACTTCACCGAACATCAACCTTTACAAGAATACTGGCACATATGTGTACACTTGATTGTAGTCTAACATTAACGTCCACCCAACTTACATATTTTCTTCGTGTGTCTTTCACAAATACATCCGTCCTCGTATTGTTTAATACGTATCAGTTTCAACAAAATAAACTGTAATCAAACGGAAACTAGAATCGTGTGTTTGTTCTCAAAAAGAATTCGTCCCTGAAGAGGTTAACCAAAGAACACTATTCACTAAACACCAATACCAAAAGCAACGAAAAATATTCTCCAAACTCTACAAAGCCATTTCCCACAAAATCCATAATCTTCTGCTACCGCGTTCAACGATCTAACAACTTCTCTCCACGAAATTACAGAGGAGAAGCACACGCAGGACGAGACGCTGACGGAGAACAAGAACAAAGACGACCAGAGGAGGCCGAAGCCGCGCGCGGACGAGTCCTCGAAGGACAGCCAGACGATGCTGATATGCTCTTTGCGCCAGTACAAAGTGAAGAAGTCGGGCGGGGACGAGAAGCGACGGTCGAAGACGAACAATCACGGCTACGTCAAAGGGACGGACGCGAATTGTCTGCCGCAGGAGCATCGTTTCTCGTCGTAGCGTAGCCGGTCCCTGCGCGAAATCCTCCTCCCGCGCGATCGAGAGATCGAGTCGCTCCGCGATCGCCGCGTCGACTTGTCCCTGTTCGAAGCGTCGTTAACATCCCTGCAAGCCGCGGTTCCCGGATCGACCTCCATTGTGTAAATATTTCAAGCGAAACGGGAGAGATGGGACCCGGAAGCACGGACGCTAGCAATACCCAAGAGCAGAGGCACAGTTTAGGGGATGAAAGACTAAACCCGGCAGACACTTGAACGCGAGGAGCTAAAAAATTGATCTTGCAAAGAGAGACTCGATGCTGTGCCCAGAATTTAAACGGGACAAATGGTAGTTAACGATTTCGGGCGCTGGAAAATGGCGGTAGAACAGAATCAAAGACGATTATCAGTGTTAGGGGATATGCTGAATGTCCTGTGAAACGGCAGACGGTTCGCGGGATGGATCGTCGGGGCGACGGGATCGAAGAACGAACGAACGATACGAGTATGAGCCGATGGTAACGATGTAATTAAGTCATTGGAAATAAACAGTAACGAGCAAATAATTACTTTAGGCAATACGCTTTTTCCTCGCTCGCTGAGAAAGAGCTGGCGCTAGCGACCCTACGGACACACGAATGTTTGCGCACACGCGTTCAGACGGACAAACGGCTCTGTTACCTTCCTAGATTAGCCTTGAACCTTGTCGGAGCTAGACGGCTTTGGTTGTCGCGTGGAAACGCAAGTGTAGATTAAAGAACAGAAGACAAAGTAGCATATGTTCAGCGTTTCCAGGGATAGTTTGTGTGAAACGGTTACGATGCGATCGGATTTGGTTTCCCTGGGGACGAACAAGGATGTTCGTTCATTTCGCTGGGTATGCCACGTGCAATTAGACGGTGTCTTTGTGTTAAGAGGCGTCGCGCGAGGCAGACGCGGCCGTTGACGCAGGATAACGGCTTGCAAGAGCGTGAAGCACGCGCACGGTGGCCGCAACTCGACGATAACTGCCTTTCCTTCAAGTTCCACTGTTACTTTTCGCCTTCGCTGTTGAGTCTTTTAATGAAACTTTGAAGATTTGTATGACGCCGAACGATAGAACCATGGTTAGACAGATGTTGACACGTTCGGGACCGTTGACGTGAATTCACGTCTTTTCAAAGTCTATTCCTGGTTGCCGGTGTTCAAATATTTCCTTTCGAAATATTTTATTCTTTTCATTTGTCTGTCTAGTTTTCCCATTTACGACTTCTTTAACCTTTTGCGGACGAATCTTCTTTATAATGTACAAAACCTTCAGCTAATAAAGCCAAATTATATGTCGAATGCTTAAATAATAGAGAAAAAGAAACTATTTTTGTCTCTATTTTAACGTCAGAAATTTGCAGAAATTGGTTTAAGATTTTCTTCACTTTCACCGCCAATGAATATTAGAAAATCGAAAAATTCTCCGATCGCGAATGTGTCAACGGCTTCCGGTCGCCTAGTGTGCAGTGTGTTCACGAAATCGAAGTGCAAAGGGGGGAAATGATTCTACGCGAGAAGCTGAATCGAAATTGTGCAATGGATGTTTCTCGTACGACACTTCGTCGCTGAGATAATCGATCATCTTCATAACGGAAGCTTCTAGAGAAAAATTGTATTGCACATTTCAGGTTTGTTTTTTCGTGTAGATTCATTTTCTATCCTTTTGTACCGCGATTTCGGAATTATACTGTGTATTCTTTGATATTTCTCGTAGACCACTGATAGCAGGAAAGATAACCCTATAGATAAGTGGATTAGAGATCGATCATAGATGAGTGAGATAGACTCGAATAGCCAAGAGGAAGTAGTGAATGCTTTCCCTAGATGAAAGGGTAGATTATCAGACGTTTAGGACAGAGAAGTAGATTATGATTGCGTGTGGCCAGACGAGAATGTAAATTGTTCATAGACAGACGAGTAGATTAGTCATGTATGAATCAGGAAAGTAGGGCGTAGACAGTTACTGGTGCATATGACAAGGCAATAGCGTTGAATTTCTTGAGTAAGTAGAAATATGAACCACTGTCAGACTGACAAGTAGATAAAGATTGTCTCTGATTAGAGTAAAAACGTACCAGTTGATAATGGAAGGACAAATAAGGGAGACGTATTGGTTATCGAAGTTACAAGTGTTCTTGATTAAATAAGGGAATTAATTGTAGGCTCAGGTCAGACAAGTAGTGCAAGACTTGATGTGGATCACGTGAGTAGAATATAGACTGTTCTTGGTCAGCCAAGTGGAGTATAAGTCCTGTTTAACCAAACAAGTAGAGTACGCTTCCTTTTGTGTCAAATATGTAGAGTAATCCTTGTCTTAGTGAAAACGAGTAGATATCACAGACATGAATAATGATTTCAAGAATTGTAAATATATATTTTTAAATATCCCTGGTATATAACTGTTGGTTAAACTTTTGTTGACATATTCTTTGTGATCCCCTTTTCTTCTTGGCCCTTTACGAACTCGCAAAGTTTCATTAAACTTGGACTCGCGGACACTGAATTTTTATATTGTATATACCTCGTGATACTCTTTATTATATTTATTTTTCTGCTCAGTTTTACTCATCAGCTAGCATACAAAATAATTAGTAGCCCACAGTTGTGCACCAATTGTATTGAGTGTTTCAAAATATAGATCTATTGGTTAGTACTAGATACAGAATGATATAAATAATTCAGAACATATATTTTTTAAGTCTATATCCAGAATATAAATTCTTTTATAGAGTACATATTTTCTTAATGATTATTTGCATAATAATTATTTTTATGTCAACGTTCATATTCATTATGATGTTTATTGATTTATTCAAACACAAATTAATGTCTAAGTAATTTATTTACAAGTTTTTACAATTGGTATTTAATATTCTCTTATTATTTACTATTTATGTTGAACGCAGCCCACAGATAAATTTTATTTTCTTACTCTATTTCTATCAACTAATTCGATTTGTATTAAACTTTGAAACACTCTGTATGGTAAGTTAATTTTTGAATATTTCCATGCCAGTCTTTCAGTTCAATTTAATACTCAGTGTCGTCCGCTTCCTGCCCCTGTAATCGATTAACTTTACTAAGTCTTTGTTTCGTTGAAATTAACGTAATTTTATCAGAATTTAATTGAGGATCGCCACTTCCAGAGAGTTGTATCCATACGGTCACGTTTTTCCACGCGAAGCGCAGGTTTAGAGCAGAGGTACAGTGTAGTACGACGGTTCTTCGAGAACTGAACGTCCGGTCACACGCAGGATCATGCTGCTCGGGCCGGTTTGCTTGATAAAAAACAAACTGCAGACTTTACGAATTCTTAACAATGAATATTCAATTTATTTTAATCAACCAAAAGAGTAAATTCCTTTTTACTTCTCATTTTCGTAGATTTCATTTATAAATATCCGAATATCGATAGAAATGTTTTCTTTTACAGCATGAATTAATATTTATTTTATATTTTATAATAACAGTAATAAAGTAATAATAAAATAATTATAACAATAACTATTATTATAACATATTAAATATTATTAGAAACATAATAATAATGATAATAATAATCATTATTATTTATTATCAATAATAACTATTATTATTAATTGTTATTATTAGTATTTGCATTTTCATGTTTTATTTTTAGTTTTCTCGAGCAAAAACAAAGTAGACATTTAACGATACAATGTTCAAACTTTCGTCCTATCTCATTTTAGAAGTTCGAATGTTCTGTAAACGCGTAAAGTTTGCAGTCCGCGTGTTTTGCGAGTCAAGAATGCGTAGCAAATTCACGCGAAAATCCAGAAACAATGAAAAACAACACGTTCAAAACGCTCGCGCGTAACGAGCACGCGAGCATCGTCTCGTTATCCATCGTACCGATGTCCGCCAGAGAATTTTACACTATCGTTTTAACGACGAGAAAAGAAAAGAAGAAAATTGAGGAGAAACCTTCGATTCGTTGATCTTCGTCGAAATGAATTCGCTAAAGGTGATTTTAACACTGGAAATATCGACGTTCAACGTGTGTACCTACGTACTTTACGCATAACACCGAATTTTTATGGGGAATGCCGGAAATTGCATGTTCAAAGAAAATACAAATTAGCGGATAAATGAATTTAATCACGCGCATACATATATATATATATATAAATATATTACAAATATCAGACGAACGCAATTCTGATAATGTTTATATGATATTACGAAGTTAATCGTGTTGACTGCTCGGTGGTTCTAGTGTTAACGCGCGTAATATCGAACATACGCAAAATCGCGTCGCGTGCTCAATAAAAATTCCCCTCGTTTCCCTTTCTCATCGCTGGACAACGGATCTTTATGAAAAATCAAAATTTTCGTAATTCATTTAAAGAAACAGGGATGAAGTACGAATTGCTTTTTCCTTAACACTGCATACTTACCGGTTATTAATTTGATTTATCTGCACACGATTATTTTATATCACAAAATAACTTAATAATTTTTATGCACAATAATTTCATAAAGAATAATTAAATGTTATTACTTCAATAGAGTATTAAATTATAAATCATATCATCATTGATTAAATATGATTTAATAGATTATTAAGTAAACATTATTATATTGATTATTGTTATTGGTTTGATAATTGATATTACTATTAAAAAATTCATTAAGAAATTCCTAGCTATTGATCAATAGTCTTCGATGAATTATTTAATAACCAGTAGCTAAAGTGTTAAGAATCTCAATAAATTGAAACGAAAACAACATTCTCAAATTGTTGTGAATATTTCTCTATTTTATATCCCACGCATTTCTGCCGTAAACGCATAAAATCCGTTGTCTAGGCATTATCGGCGAGCTTTTGCCCCTTCTCTTCCTTCGGAACGGCGATCGCACGTTTCGTTCATGTTCTCACGCGAGAAAAACGAACGCTTTGACGATCCCCTTATATATCCACCTCGGATCTCGCTGCAGGCCGAACATCGCGAGGTTCTTCTCCGACATTTTTAGACGAATCATCAGTAAAATACATATCTCTAATGGCATTTCTATTCATTGTTATGGTAGACGTAGGGAAACGAATAATTGTACAGTCGCAGGATTAATAAGATAAACGAAGAGAAGGGAGGAAAGGAAGAAAAAGATATGGTTGATATATCTCCGCGCGGTCACGGCTGTTCGGGGATCATTGTTACGCTGGGTGGTGTAGAGTTCACGCCTTGAGTATTTTTTAACATGTTCAACATTGTTTTCGACATTGTATACGAACCGCGAGGGGACTGTTCTGAAAATTGTACGTTTCCACTTCGACTTATTTTTTCGAGTATCTACTTTTGATACTTATCAAATTGTTGTTAATAGATATGGTTGGTTGTATAATTATTAATAATTATTATCGGCCTTGTAATGATTAAAAATTAATCATACGGGTATTGATAATTATAGTTAATCATATGATCAGTGGTAATTATAATTAATCATGCAATCATTGATAATTATAATTAATCATATAATTATTGATAATTATAATCAAACTTATAATTATTACAAATTAATCCTATGGGTATTGATAATTATAATTAATCCAGAATTATTAATAATTACAATCAACCTTATAATTATTACAGATTAATCTTATGGGTATTAATAAGTATAGTTAATCCTATACTTATTATCACTTACACTCAATTTTATAATAATTATTAATTATAATGAATCTGTTTTCAAGAATGACGATTATTGTGATTGGACTGAGAATTTCATACCTATCCAACGTACATTGACATTCCGTGCATTAAGGAGTTTAATGATATTTAATTAATATTTACTAAATTCGATTTGACGATGATTTTATTTCACTGTTCAATTTTCAATTTCTTTTTATTATAAATTAACAGCTACAGATTCATATGTATATGTTAATATCTGTACAGAAATTCGCAGTCTAATTACTATGTTAAATATTTCTAGTACCATATATGAAAGCACAATGTTTTCTATTCATAAATACTTTCCAAAGAAAAGCAATGAGATTAATCCGAGGAAATATTTTCATTTCTATGATTGACTACATCAGAATATTATTTTATCGCGTAATCTATTATAAATACAACAACGTGTACATATCTTAGATTAACAGTTTCTAAAGCAACATAATAATTTACAGCATAACAGTAGTAGTATTGATCGAAGTAAGCTGATTAAATTGTACATAGTATACAACTTGTAAATTCTTGTGATTAGTTGTTCGGATAATTTCATATTTAAAAATAACCAGTAATGAAACCTTTACATTTATGAATAATAAACTTAAATAATACTTTTCGAAATATAGTTACTAAACGTAGAGTCACAGTAAAATTATTTTGATTTTGAATCTGTCCGAATTCTAAAATTTCGTTAAAACTTGAAAACTTATTAGTACTCATTGATGCAGATAATTATGTACCATTAATATTATCATTATCCTAATTGGTAGGTATATAAATGATAATACTCGGTAGTATTATTAAATAAATCGTTAGTAATGTTATACAACAATTACACTAGTCACTATGCTAGGTTTAATGAAAACTAAGGGAAACAGTTGAGGACATTTCTATGGCAGTACTCTCCGCAATATAACAAGAGAGAAATGTTACGTTTCTTCCACTGTTTTTTATACGGTGATACGCATTCAGATTTACAGAATTAAATTGAATAAGTAGCACAATGAATTAAAATATACAAATAATACGTATAAATATAATCTAACGCTTCCCATAAGTTAATGACGATCAGCCATTCGCTTTCAACCAGTCCGTTATATTGAGTGATATTAATGTAAAATCTTAATTTTAAATTAATTCTTAATCATGAGAAAACTACTAATCATTTCGTAAGAATAATTCACTCCTTTTAAATTATTACATGAATGATCGTAGAGAAACGAATGGATCTTACCAAAGAAATTTCAGAATGGTCCTCGCAACGCGAAATAACATTGATTGTTTGTAATTGTTACGGCGTTGTATTTATTGTTCGCGAAAACTTCGCATCGTAGCTGACGTTTTTTCCTATCTACTGTAAGAAACAGAGTTGGGCAAAACATCATTCGATTGAAACGATTATGTAACGATTATAATTGTTACGGACACAAATTACTGACAAATGATCACGACTTTAGTAGTTACGATTAACATATAACAGAAATAATCGATGTGAACGATTAATTCTTTCATTAATCACGAAATGACTAAACTGTTGATCCGACAACTCAGTAATTCCTTTTGAGACATCTTCCAGACTTTGTTTTAAAGTCGATTGTACAAAAGTAATATTTTTTATTGCGGGTTTTATTCGATTAATAATAAAATATAGACGCTACTGATCTTTGTTAAACCAACGTTCCATATCTTCCATACTTATATTAGTTAATACGAAAAATCCATAATGATTACAAGTGTTCGTGATTACTGATCAACCTTAGCAATAAGCAATCGATTAACAATCATCGTTGTTGTATTACTTCTATCTATCACCAAAATATACCACAAAATAATCAATTCTATTTTCAGATAGCAAAACGCGGTGTGCAGAATTTTCTAATTTTACGAAACAACAATTTCGAAGTTCGTAAAACTTCATACTCTTGTTTCCTCTATCACTACAATATTGAAACAATTTTTAAATCACAATTTTTCTCTATTCGAAGCTATAAATAATGTTTATTAATTCAAGTTGAGCCACGTAGCTTGTTAATATTGTTGTTTAATCCTTTACACAACTACTTACTTTGCCATTATTAATATATTAGAAAAAGAGAGAAATTCTATGTTTGTATTTGCACTAAAATATAATCATTAATAAGAAAGGAATAATATTTAATTTGAATTCGAAAGGATTGAATAATATTTATATTTGTTAAATTCTCTTCAAAATTTTCACCGCGAGTCTGGCACGTTGTTATAAAGCGAAGGGTTAATTTTACACATACATAAAGGGAGTACATATCTGAATTAAAAATTTCGCGTATCGCGTTTTGCCGTCTGGTTTGCCCGACTCTGGAAGAAAAAAGAAAAGTTGGATCTCGATACCTCGTAATCGCTTGGAGTCACTCCAGAGTAAATCAATGTCTTCTGTGAATTTAAACATAGTCGGAAGTATGTAGAAAGTTCCTAGAGAAGTGTACAGAACGTGATTTATTGTTTATTATGGTAATTGTATATTTAGCACAGATTAGCGGTGACATAGTACAAAACAAATGCGAGTCACGGACCGTAGATTGACCGTGGCAGGAGTTAGCCGGGAGTAAACAAGATGGCGGACCGGGGAAACAAAATGGTTCTGCAAAAAGACACGTTCCCTTCATCTTCACGAAGCCGACTCTACGTTTCAAGTTACAATACCTATTGTCGTTGATTTAATGTTGCTAGTTACGAGGCGTAACGACGATAATTATCCAACAATTGGGCCGTTCGATTCGCAACTGGCGTATCTCTAATTAATTCCACGTCATTAAACAAAATACCTGGAACAATGCTTGTCTTTTCATATAATGCCGTTACTAAACAATTCTGAACTAATGCACTTCATTAAGAAACGTGAATTTTCAAAATGTCTAATTATTAGACTGCAGATCTTTATAGAGATTCAAGATTTTTCAAATATAAATGAAAAAATAGAATTACGATGAAACGCGGTTTCTAAGTATTAGAAATTCTAAGTAATGTAAAAAGTATTACACTTTGGATATTTCATATATTTTGCATGGCATTCTGTGCGATTTTGCAGTTCTAAATTTACTAGAAATGCGTAAAGATCGGCAGCCTGATAATTATTATAAAATATAACACTGTTTTATTTTATTTATTATATTTCGAGGTTAAAAATAGATCCTACAGTTTTTGTAAAAATCAGCAACTGGAATATTAGCATATTTGTACATATTATATTACAATTCGGGCTCGAATTGGTATGCTTACACCGCGTTGAGATCGAAACGGCCTAATTAACATGTTGGCTGCCCAAATGTGCACCATCAGCCGCGATATTGTGATAAAATGCGCCTGTTTCGTTTGTTTTTCCTGTTAAGAATACAGATGTTTTACGGATTGACTTATAAGTACACAGATTATTTGGATCGTTGATCTGTTTATTGATTACAAAATGTTTACGGGATTGCAAACGTTGCTGTTCGGGGATCGAACGTTTCTTCGTGTACAGTCAGAATGGTGCTGGACACCGGTGACCACCGTGGCAGTCAACGTGTTAATCGGTAAAAAGCACAGAAAGAAATTGAAAGCGCAAAATAATTTTCTAACGCATAAATTGTTATCCGAAAGCGATTTATATGAAATTGATCGCCCCCTCTCGTCCCTACGTTCACGAGAGTATACACCTTGCTCATCGACATCGATTTACGCCTTTGAAATTATTCAATTGATTCACGTGAAACTGCCAATCATTGGTTTGTTAACGTTTATCGTTTCTTTATACCGAATATTTATTTATAAGTGGCTGTAAGATGAAATAATTTAAGTAGAATTTAAATCGATTATATTGTACATTAGGATTTTAATTTAAATGTAAATTTATTAAATTTTACATTAGGACTTATACTAGGATCTCGATAAAATTTATGGAACTAATTTCTTTTTAACAAACCAAGAAATAATATGTTACAATTGTTGCAAGCAATATATAAAAATATTCCTATAATTTTTAAATAATCCTGAAGTTAACAAATTAACTGAAACCTCCATGTTCTACTGATTTAATAATTAATGCTTCAAATCTGATTAACAAATGATAACAAGATAGTAAGAATGTCATTTTGTTTTGAATGTTTTCCTACAAAATGGCAGTTTCATGTGTATCAACCTGATCAGATCATTCCATATGCAGCATCGTTTTCGTTGTTCTTTAAAATAATAAAAACACCTATTGTTTTTGGAAACATCCGAAAATTCAAAGGATAAACAGAGTTCACAATTGTGCCCTTAATTTTGAGAATAGTCCAAGTCGTTTCAAGCATACAAATTCATGTTTCCTTATAAGTTGCACACAACATTACAATCATAATAAATTTTGATTTTTCAAAACTACAATATTTTCTGAAATATCTTTTTACACGGTATAAAAATATTTTTCAAACCATTCAAACACAAACCTTCAAATATCTCGGAACTAAAAATATACGACTTAGTCTACTTTCAAAATTACCGTCACAATTATGACGACAACTTGTTAACATGTGAATGGTAGTTGCAGATATTAGTAATTTCAAACAATTTATTTATTAATAGAATATTATCAAATATATAAAATGCACCATATGAGCCACACATTAACCAAATCAGTTAACTGCAATTTTTTAATTTTTTAAGATTTTTTCGTTAATCTGCTTGATTCGTTCCTAACCTATATTTACAACTAATGTTCTTATTAATTAATCTCGGTGCCACGAGATAATAAAAATTCTTTTGGTCGTATAAGAATTGTAATAATATTGAATAACTTTTGGGTATAGTATTTCATGCGTTTTACATAATCATAAGATTAAAAATACTCCTGCAATAATAAAGTGAAATCCATTCTACAATTGTAACTTGATTTTCCATTTAAAAGGAAATTTTAAAAGTCAATTTATATCACTGCATCACCTTTCTCAATTTTTTGGTTTGTGGAGTCAACCCATTTAATCAATGAACTGCTCATATAACAAAAAAATATCTCTTTATGTTCAAAATATTTAAGAATAAAAGCAAAGTAAAAACAACAAATCAGTATTCATGTAAATATCAGTTTGCCAGGAAATGAGGTCCAAGCGTGTCCTGTTTTTGGAAACGTGTTAATTCGAATAAATGACGCTGCACGCGGAATGATCTGACACATAATATCCGGTCGGTTTAAGACACAAGCACACAGTCAATTCTCGATTACACGATTCCAGTTACGTACACATATAAAACGATTCTTCTGCCATGATATCGAAACGTTTCAGACGCTAGCTGATCTCAGAGTTTCGTCGATCACATGCGTTCCCGTTGATTTCTCGGATTTCTAAGGCCTAGAATCGTAGTTATAAGGCGAGTAGTGTGCATAAGCGAATAAAGTTGTAATTTGCCAGTTTTTGTTCCTCACAAGAGTTTCTTCATTGATCACGCATCCCTCCTAATTACAAATTAATTCGTCGAATGTCGTAAACAATACTTCTCGACATTATCTTCTTCATCAAATGTTTAACTCCCATCTAACCTTCACGTATTAACCCTTTGCACTCGAAAAACGACCCTCAGTCACCATTTAATTTGATATAACAAAATGACAAAGTGTTATATATAATATTAAGTTTTGTATAATACATCAATATGTGAGATATTTCTATAAAATAGCTTTGTTTCTTGAGTTACGTATGTTTTCTGATTAGTTCGTTTCAAATAGTGTCGTCTAATCTCATCGGAAAGTGTCGAATGTTTCTAGTGAAAAGCTTCCGAGTGCAAATGGTTAAAGTATAATAGTAGTATTTGTAAATAATTATTTTAGTTTTCAGTTACATTCAGTTACATTCTATTTCTGACTTCGTGATATTAAATTATTCGATTAATAGAAAAATGTTGACGCTTTTTCGAGCAAGTAAAAATATCACTGGATTCTGGATCACCGGATGCAAAATATCAATGGAAATTATATAATAGATTGAGTCAATAAAAATATTTTAACAGCTCTTCTTCTTATTTCTTGCAAGAAAACGTCGGAACTTTTGCATCAACCCAATATTAAAGAATAAGCTTTTTCTTATTATTATAAAAAACTAATTTAAAAGTACTAATTTCTTAGTATTGTCTATTCGAATGATTCTCGTTTTTATAGAAACTTGTGCAATCAAACGTTTCAACTGCAGCTATTTTTAATTGATGAATTTATTGTTACTAATAGCCTGTGGATCATTTCGATAATTATTGATTCGCGTGTTATATGCTTCGCAGAAACTGGAATCAAACAAAAGATTCTTTGCAAAGGATTTTATTACGGTTACAGAACAAATAAATTTCAAATGAATGAAAAAAAGACCGGACGACTAAACAATTTTTTTAGTTAAATAATCTGAACTTGTAGGTTACTACATGTGTTCCATTTTTATTCGTGAAAAAGGAATAATTTCTCAATGCTCGATTTCTTTCGCAAAAATATTGAGGGGATACCAGGTTGCAAACGTGCCAGGAAATTGCTTTATTGTGGTTACTTTTGCTATACAAGGATCGCGTATTTCGAACAAAGTGAAAACATAGGATCGCGCGAGTGCCAAGTCCAGTTCCTAACATTTGTTTACCGGCAACAAATGTTTCGATCAAAGTCTAGCTCGAGGCCGCTGCAGGTGCATTCACGGTTTCGGTGGTGGTACTCTGCGCGTCCGATATCGGTTTCTCTTGCAGCTCGAGCCATGGTAACCGTTTCTGCAGCTCCAACCTGTCACAAACAATTCGTTCTAATAATATACAAAAATAGTAAATATAATTGATATTTAGGTACCCGAAGGATTCTAATAATATATAAAAATGGTAAATATAATTGATATTATATTAGCTACCGGAAAGACTCTAATAATATACAAAACCAGTAAATATTATTGATGTTATATTATGTTCCGAAAAAAGTCTAATAATATAAAAAAATGGTAATAGATATAATTGATATTATATTAGGTAGAAAAAGTTTATGCGGTTTTCTAGTTGGCAATGAATTGAAGTCCAATTTCAGTCAGTATTTCACTAGTTTAATAAATGAAATTGGTATCAGCAGCAAGTTATGTTCATGACGTTGGTATTAAATAAAATAAAATTACTTTACGGAAACGTTCTGTGTGTTGAAATTTTAATTTAAGAATCCACATGGACGTTTTATGGTACCTAATATAATGTATCACTACAAGAACTAAATCAAGTGTTAATCAAGTTGAACAAGTCTGTAACCTTCAGGTGTAGTAGTAGAATTCTGTAACAGTGTTAGTGGAAGCTCACCAAGTAATAGCTTCCATGAATTTAATTAAATTTGTCCAAATTGAATTTAAAATCACATAGGATCGATCTAACTTGACTCTTCTCGACGAAATGAATTTTTCCTATTTATTTATAGTTAAATGAATCGATTATTTAAACCCCTTAGAGTATTTGTTCATATTATTAGAACAATTAAATAGTTAAATAAATTAATTAATTTGACAATTCCAACGAAAGTTGAAAATTTGTTGTTTTGACTAATGTCATAGATTATTTTTAGTGTTAACGCCTGTTTTATTTACAATTTAGACATTTTACAGAGAATTGTGGTAAAAAAATGTCATCGTTAAATGACTGAGTAATTAATGTTCTAGAATTTTCATTGTCAATGAAAAGCTTTGAACTATTTAAATGATTTTTCCGATTTTTACATCCAGAAAAATAATATTAATAATAGTAATGGAAAATTCTCCTGTAACAGTGTGTTTTTAAATGTTTTCAAGTATTCAGTAATTGATAACATTTATCAGGGAAATTTTACCTGTATTTCGGATGACTGATAGCGTACACGTATGGATCCAAACAAGCGACACCCTTACACGTGCATGCTGGTATCATCGTGACACCGGGAGTTAACAGAGCTTTATTACCAAACGCGCCGATCATCGCCATTACGCCGTACGGGGTCCACGAGCATAAGTACAGGAAGCAGATGGTGATGGCAGCCTTTAAACATGGAAATAATAATGGTGATTTATTCGATGAACGTGATAAAATTCTCATTTATTATTTTATAAAATAATTTCTTTTTCTCGATCAGAATAAATGTTGTTAATCAACACATATGAACAAATGTAATCAATTTAATAAATTCCTTTAATTCATTTATTTCATTACTTGTGTTTCAGATTTAAGTTCTTTATAATAATGGAAATTGATTAGGCTTATTAAAATGAACCTTTTCTTCACGAAAATTATGAAGGTTTTATTTACTGTCAAGTCTGAATACGCATATTTCAGTGATTCATTTTTACCTTAAAAGAAAATATATTAGATGCATTATTTGATTTTAGGAGGATCAGGTGAGTTAGAAACGAAGTTAAAAACGAGTAATGTAATTTGTCTGATTACGTAAGCGTTAGATAACGTTGTTCGCAGCGAAACTAGTTTTGCGTAGAGATATGAAAAATGTCGGAAATTTCCTGACAGTTCAAGATAGAATACTGTAACTGAAAAACTTTAGATAGTTTCTTAACAGAAAAATAAACTCCATGCTCACAATGAACTCACTATTTCCTTTTTTCTACACTTTTTGATGGATAATTGTCAGATTTTCAAATTCTAAGAAAATCGAATACCTTTAAAACATCAGAAAAAGATTATTCTTTCGTATATTTCTAATATTTACATGTTTCAATTATTTATTGCTTACTGATATTTCAACTTCGTAACAAACAGTAAATGTCAATACCTTGGCTATGCGAATCTCGGCGCTCTGACTGTTCGTAGACGCGTTACTCCTTAAGCTGTCAACGTTCATCTTCTTCGCCTGTTCCCGGAGCGCCTTCTCGTGGTTCACGACATGGCTAACGATCTGGCTGTAATAGTATATAATCATTGTCAACGGAATGGCGTAGGAGAAGGTGAATATGGTCCCGACGAAATATCGTATCTCGTTTGAATCCGTCAGGTAATCGAAAGTGCAACTCGTGAGGAAGCCCTCGGGCACGAAACGGCCCCAAACTCCCATGGCCGGCATCAGTGCCCATGGTATGGTGTAGGTCCAAATGAGGACGATGAAAAGCATCACTTGACCGCGCGACAATTTCCCGTCAAGAGGTCTCGCGATGGTGCTAGAACGGGAAACACGTTTTGTAAGTCGAAACCGGTTCGTTGGGAAATGGAAGGAAAATGTTAACGTCAGAAACGAACAGCTTTAAAGTAAATATATTTATAAATAGAATAAAGTAAATGTAGTAAATAAATGAAAATTGAACAGACTTAAAGTAAATATATGTATAAGTAAAATAAAGTAAATGTAGTAAATAAATTAAAAATAAGCAGCTTTACATGATTATGAAACTGGGAAATTTGAAAGTGCAAAATTGCTAAATATCTAGTACTTTTTATCGTGTCCATTAAAAAGAAAACGATTTTCTACAGTAATTCTGTTTTTATAATTATATTCGTAAACATTTGAATTTGTATAAAGATAGTCTAATTATTGTGATTCTAATATGAACTTGTATCAGTGAAAATAAATATAGACAAATATAGATTTTTATTCCATTCAAATATATTGAATTTTAGAAGGTCCTGTCTATTGAAAGTGCATAAAATCCACAGTTTAGATATTATTCATTAACTCTGTGTATTCTAAAGTTTGTTACACCTTTGACATCATTACCTGTATCTATCATAAGCTATCGCAGCGTTCGTCATTCCAGCAGCTATGCCAGTTAACGAGCCGATGACGGCGAATATCTGACATCCTAGATTGCCCAGAGCGAACCCGGTGTTAAAGGAATTGTATATGAAGATGGGAGTCTTGATCATCATGAAAAAATCGCATATCGCGAGATTCACGACGAACATGTTCGACGGAGTCCTCAGTGACTTCGCGCTGAACGAGAAGATAGAACGAGGAATTAAAAACTTGCATCGTAATTTTGTTTAGTGATCATAAAAGTACCAAGAAGAAGTAGCGAGATTAATTTTTATTATTTTTAACAAATTATTTTTCATTTGCAAAATGATTGAAGTAATCAAATTTCCTTTTGATACTGAAACTAACAAAGAAAAACTTGTTTCAAGTCAATTATATTCGTTTATACACTCAAACGGAGAATGCACTTGTCACAATTTTCACATGGAAATTAATCACTCTGAGTACTTGCTAATTCTACTATCAATTGATTAACTCATGTATTTTAGCAGTCAACCCTATTCCTTATTATTTTCTTCTTGATTAACTTCAAAAATTCTAAAGAACAACTCTGTAAATATGAATTCACTGCAAAGATTAAGTATTCGTAAAAATTGATGAAGATTAAATATTGATACATTTTATCTTCTAGAGCTTTCCAACTACTTGTACACAATTACAAGAAGAAAACTAATATCGATCCAAAATATTTAGCGAAGTAACTAACTAAATAATAATGTAACTTCAGAACTACTAAATCATTAATCATTAATTCTAATACCATTCGCCTTTGTTAAGGAAGAATAAATAATATTACATGGACTAAAAATTCTCGTGACAGTCAATTGCCAGTGACTATAAGCAAAATCTCAAGCTAATTCCCACAAATTTCTAACGTTAAAACACAGACAAAAATTCGAGAATTTCTTTTGTAGAACTTCCTGTTAAAGAAGTAGCAAATGGAAAAAAGCAGAAGATTCTAATGCAACCAGGAATAGAATTAGGAAAAACATAAATTCACGTTATCGGTCAATGTGTTAACGGTCGACTACGAGAGACATTGAATCGGGCAAGACTTACGCGCAAAAGATCCATATCACCAAGCCGTTCCCGAGGAGCGCGAGGAAAGTGAAAAGAATGTACAGTAGGGCCAATAAATAATGAAGGGAGGGGTTCGGCTCGGGATAGACCAGCCAGTGGTCCGGTATGTGAACGATCTCCTCCGCGGGGACGTTCCATCCAAGCAAACGCGGCGGCCCAGCTGGCCCGTATCTCGCCTCCCAGTGGATACTGTCGTTGGACATGTTGGCCACTCCGTCCGCCAGCCCCTCTCCTTGATACCGTCGATCAGCCGGCTGTTTTATACCGTTCTATCCCGTTAAAACGGCGAAACCCTAATCCCGGTGATTTCGTTGGCTTCGTGCGGCGGATCAGCCGGGGATCATCCCCTAGTTGCCTCTTGGTCAGCAGGAATGTGCGTCAAAGTCACTCGGAGGCGGTCACGATGATCGTCAGTCGAGGTTCCGTATCCAGCGAGGGCTGGCTACCAATTTTAACCCTTTGCACTCGAGAGGTGACTCTCAGTCACCATTTGATTTGATGCAGCAAAATTATAAAATTCGATATTTAATATTGAACTATGTGTAATGCATCGTTGCGTGAAATATTGGGATAAAAAAGCTTTGTTTCTCAATTTACCTGTGATTTCTCTTTGAATTCATTTCAAAAAACATCGTTTTTGTCTAGTTAGAGAATGTTAAGTATTTCTAACGAAATACTTCTGAGTGCAAAGGATTAACACCCTAACTTCCGGTTTCGTTGGAAACGTTCTGCCCTGTTTCGTCGGACAATAGAATTGTTGACTATCCAACAATGATGAAACTAGGACAAGCAGCTAGCTCTTAACATTTTTGCGATCAGCGTCTTGCAACGCTTAGTAATTTGTATTTTGCGTAAAGAAAATTCATTTTTACGTGTACTTTTATTTAAAATAAAAAAGCATGGTGTAACGTGGAGGAAGTTGAAGTAAATTCTATTGTTATATTCTTTTTAATAATCTGAGAAGAGAATAGATCGTAGTTGTTACGGTCCTTTTGTGACAATCCTTTTCGAAAAATAATTTAATCATTTCTTATTCATCGAAAATTGATGACAGTTTAATAATATTTGATTCGATGAATTTCACTGAGGCATAATAAAAACAAACTCTCATATTTTTTTTAAGTAGTTTTATTTTATTTTAATACTTTTGTGAGCACACTTTTCTGCGTGAATAATACTTTATTGTGATCGTTTAAATTAAATATTGTGTTACTTAAGAATATACAGAATAGCTAGTATCACAATTGCTAATGCATTATCTGTATGAATATCGTTTTACAACAAATTCAATTTTGTGAGATCAACAAATTCAGGAGACCAACAAGATAGTATATACAGATAAATCATTAATAATTTTATGATAAACAGCTAAAATGGTGATGCTGTATAATTAATAGTTAATTAATTTTATTTATGTATTTATATATCACTAAAAATATATAATAATACTCTATATGTGCATTATTTTATATCATATGAGGTACAAAAGAATATCATTGTCTTTTTATAAAAAGCGTTTTCAACCTACTTAGCACCAGCAAACATTACCAAAATTTGCATCATTTTATAAATTATATATAAATAAATGTAATATTCCCAATTACACTCTGCCTTGTCTTTCAGCAGATTTATCAGCTAAAGTATATGCTGGCAAATAAGATGATGGATTTTGAGGATCTCTCAATCGCGGATTTGGTAGTGTAGATGACTTTGTTCCTAAACTTGTATATCCTTGGTCATATAATGAACAATATGGCACATTATGTTTCAAAAGAAAACTCCACACTTGGTCGTATGTCCAGTTTAAAATAGGATTTACACGAACTAGATTCGGCCAGCCTGGGTCAGTTCGGGAAAAAGGTTCCATGTCTTCTGAACCTGGATCACCCTTCCTCATTCCCATCAGGCTTGCCTTTAAATTCCTTTTTTCTTCCAAAAGTAAGCTTAACGCCACTTGTATAGGTCGTTCTTTCCTTATCAATTCTAAATTATAGTATCCAGCAGCTTTCTCTACAAAGGAATCCACCTATAAATAAATTAGAATATCATTTTTTTTTTATAAAATATATAATACAGTGATTACAACTTTATTATAAGTATATTGATATTTTGAAAAAGGAACATTTGAAATAATATTAACGATTTTTAATTAGGTATTACCTCTGGAAACGGATCAGCTGTTACATATAAACATGTCAAGGATGGAAAATTTTGTAATTTTGCAATGGTAGCAGCTAAATGTAAAACCACTGTGCAATCTTTCCCACCATTGAAACTTAAAAAAACATCTTCTGGTTTATACCTAAATATATACAATAAAAAATAATATTATCTTCATCAACTTATTTCTTTTCATAGTAAATACTTAGTAAACTTACGTTTTGTAACAGTCCTGTAAAATATCTAAAGCACATTTTATATGGGCATGATTATTAGCATCTTTAAAAATAGTTCTTGCATGGTAACTCATAAATCCATTTTCTAAATTTCGTATTTTTTGAACTGGTAGGGAATACAAAAGTTCACCTTTTGCTTCCAATACATGTTCCTTTTTTCCTTCTATTGTAATTCTCGTATAATCGTCGGGTGCTGTTTGCGGATAACTACCGATACTGACTTTATTTTTCCAACGTTCTGCATGTTCATCCAAGATTTTTACAATAGATAATTCATTTGAATTAATGTCTATGTATTCAAGATGCAAAGGAATACCCTTCTTCAATTTTGATATTATTACATCAACAGCAGGTTCAAAATATTTTGGAGATCCTGGTAATACATAGACATTCTTCGCTTTTACAACTGCATACTTTCCTAAAAGTTGTTTAATTTATAATTATAGTTTAAATAATAAATAAAGTAATGTTAGGTAAGTACATTTTAAATAACATTTATCTTTTTAAACTTATTAATACACATACGTTGTAAGTGAACGTAAATAAGTTCACATGGTCTTGGTACAATAGCGAGACGATGAAATTCCTTTTCATCAGGAAGAAGGTTTGCCAAAAAATTAATCAATTCTTCGTGAGATTCAAGTTTCAATCCCAAACCTTTAGCCACAGCTTCATATGTTACATCATCATGGGTGGGTCCAACACCACCAGATGTAAAAACAACAGAGTATTTTTTGGAAGCTTCGCTTACAGTCTTTGCAATATCATCTATCTAATACAAAAGACTACATTACACGTAGTGAGATTTTAGACATCAATTTCAATGAAAATGTAAAAAAATTATGTACTATATCAAAATACTATTTTAAAATTCTGTATATTGAAAATATAAAAAAGTATGCTTCAAAATAATGTTTAATATATATGTCTGTATAAAGATATATACAAATACATAAAATTGTACTAAAATTATTATTTTAGAACATTTCACTAATTGATAAATTATACATAATTATAAAGCATTGTCATTATAATTGTCTATACTTCAAAATAAAAATTTAACAACATAAATTGTAGGTAAAAATAATAAATTAATACGCACAATATCAGGTATTACTGTTACTCTTTCAAGTTTAATCCCAGAAGATCTTAGACTTTTTGCTAGATATGATGTATTTGTATCAATAATTTGTCCACGTAAAATTTCATCTCCTATTACAATCAAGCTTGCAGTATAAACCTCCATGATGGGTGATTTTCCTATATAAAATAGAATAAATTTATCTAAATAACAATCGTATTAAACTTGGTTATAGTTTTACACTTCAAAACCTCTTCACTTTAAACTGAATATCATTATCATTGATTAAACATAACTTTAAACCTGAGATGTTTGACTACTCTTAGATAACTGATTAGTACAATGATGATAAGGAGGAACTCAATAAAACGCTTTCATGATCAATTACATTTATTTTATGTAACAAGATCTGTCGAATAAAAATTATAATATTTTTAATTATATTACATGAAGTAGGTCAGTATTATTATACATTTTTATTAATTAATGGTAACGGCATATATCTTAGGTAATAGATACACAGTATTTCTTAAATTTGCATTTGTTCAACCAATGATGTTGTTGCATCTGTCTGCACTGGTGTCCTATTAGGCACTTTCTTCTTTTCTTCGTGTTTTGTATTCATTACCTTCTTCTTAGGCTTGGATTTATGTATTTCTGTACGTAATTCCTGAAGTTGTTGGTCTATTTGAGCCGTTTTATCCTTGTTTTTTTTATTAGCTTTATTTCCTTTCAAATCCAACTATTAAAATGAAGGAGAATTGCATGAAACAATGCAATATTCATATAAATATGCACAGTACAAATATCACATTATCATTTTATCGAATCCAGATAACAGATAACATTATATGAGAATGAAGCTCATATATGTAATCATTCATTATTTAAATTATATTAATGTTGCTTTATCATTTGTATGAATTCACTTACATTCTTTAAATTGGACACCACCTTCTGTGCTTTTGCTTTCAACTTAACGCTACGAACTGTTGCTACTTTGAATACATTTTTCTTTTTTTGGTTCTTCTGTAGTCCCTTCTTCGCCATTATATTCTATAATATCATCTTTTTTAGACATACAAGAATTATTTTCGGATTTAAATTTCTTCATTGCTGGCTCCTCGCCTTTTAAAATTCTTTCATTTAATAGAAATGATACACGAAACATATCTTTGTAACTAGAAACATCTCTAACAGTATGTAAATTGACTAAAGACTCTTGCAATGCACAACCAAGTTTTTCTTCTACAAATTGTTGTGCAAGACTGTGACCATTTTCTTCTTTATTTACTTTCACAAAACAATATACATGTATTATAGGGGGCTGAGAACATATTTCCTTTATTTCATCTTCATTGAAATATTTATAAAATACATCCAAAAATTCTATAGCAGTAGATGGTAAATTCATTACTATATGCTCAGAACCGTCTGTATTACTATGTCTTCTTTCTAACATATCATTTTTTACAATAGTCTTTAAAAATTCTCTACCATCCATGTTGAAAGATGTAAAATTAGATTTTACTTTATTAGATGCAGCATTTTTGTTCAACCACTTGTAAGATTCAGGATTTAAATCATTTGCAAATACTTTAGCTCCTTTCTTAGCAGCAGGAATAGCAAATGGTCCAATCCCAGCAAACACATCATACAAAACATCATTAGGTTGGATCATTTTTACCAACAACATACGCTCTGTACTTAATCTAGGATTCCAATAAACTTGAGAAAAGTCCAACTCATATGTATAACCAGCTTCTTTTGCTACTGTTATAGTATTCTTTTCACCTGCAATTATCTCCATATTAAAATGTCTGTATGTCGTATCAATTGCATCCATCTTATTTATTATTGTTTTAACATTTGGAATATGATCAAGGTAAATGTTACCAATAATTGTCTTATATGGTAAATGCATGTCACGTAAATTTAAATGCAAGATATGGCCTATCATGCTAAATGAAGTAGGACTACTAACATCTTCAGGTAAAATAGCTTTTAATAAGACTTGATGATGAAAATTATAATAGTTCAGAGTTAACTCTTTTGTTCCAAATTCTTTGTATACTGTTGACAATACGTCTCTGTCAGATTCCAATAAGTCTTCATATATTTTTATTACATCAGGATTTAAATATGCAATAGTTTCATTATTTACTATCTGCAGTGATTTGAAATTTTTTATTTTAAGTATATATTTGTTCAGAATTGGTTTATATTTTGATATTACAATGTTTTCAAATTTTAAAAATGGTACTTGGACAATAGTTGTGAATGCAGAACGGTCCAAACATGTCATTCCTCTAACTGATTCTGGAGGAACCAGCAAAGAAGTCATTTTATTACAATAAAAACGATATTGTACCCAGAAACACTGATGAATTAATGTATTTAAATGTCTCTTTAACACCATTGATCCTACAAAGAATTTCCAAATTATTCCATTTTGATAAAAATCTTTTTCTATTTAGAATACATATATTTTACTACTTAATTTTTCTATACTTTTTGATAATTCCCCAACTTAAAATGAAAACAATGTAAAGGGAACATACGTTTTCTCAAATAACCATTTAATTTAAATGCTTCATGATTATGATTGTATCTTAAGTATTTAAAAAGTAACAGCTTAATTCCAATTGAATAAATTATTATAAAATTCTATTCAATTTTATTGAATTCTTTCAATTTTAATTTTAAAATGTAAGGTATATTTGACAACAAACATAATGAATAAAATGTAGTATAAAAATGATACAAATAAATAGGTTTTAAAATAAATTATTATAGTGTAATTAAAAAGAAACAACTGTTATTTACCTTTGTTATATGTCGACAATACGTTAAATTAGCTCCACGTTACAGCAATAAAATTTACAAAGGTTATGTCATTGATTATATACGTATATATAGACTATAGACACTATACTAGTGCCACAGACGAGGTATAGTATAAACATTGTAAGCTTATGGGACACATTGTGTATATTCTGAATTACCGACTGTATAAAAAATCAGAAATTTTGAGTGCCCTCTATGCCTAGAGAACGGTCTACAAAAAACCATATTGAGCAAAATAATCGAAGTGAACCAAGTACCTAGTAAATATGGTAAACTAGCATATAAACATTTTATAATGTAATATAAAATGATATATTAATTTTATAATGTAATATATAATGACTTTAGCAACTTCAATCATCGGTTCGAATGTAATTTTTAAACTTGCTACTTTTAATCATGAGAAACATATCAAAGCGGCCTGCTGTTTTTATACTATCGATATTTCAGACTATCGGATACAAAGTCGCATAAAATGTCTATCCTGTTTCTCCTCGGTGAATTTACCTATCGTTGGTGGTCTTCTTCACCGTATCGGTAATACAGTATAGTAGACAGCAATTCCATTTTACGTGACATCACTAATTATCTTAAGCTGGTATAACAGTTCAATTAATATCAAATTTACGATGCTCGATGTCGCCACTCATTGGTTAAACCACAGATAAGCGTCTGAGGTTAGATACTACTAAGTTCTTTATAAAACATTATATACATCTTGCTCGTTCCATACTTTTTCATTATTTCAAGCTTTTACAACTGTGTTAAAATTAAAAAAATATACATAGTTGATTGCATTACGGTCTCAAGAAATTAATTTCTTACTTTATAACTCTCTCTCTCTTTCTCTTTTCCATACATGTTCTTCTTGAAAGGATTAACTCGTTCCGGAATTTTGAAATTCTCTTTCCTCGGTCTACAGTGTTCTTTTATTCAATTCGTAATTTCCACATTCTCCCAAAAAATAATAAATGACAATGCCTTAAAATCTGTATCATATAATTTATACCTGTCCATATAATTCTAAGATAATTTTGCAATAATTAATTACAAACAGGGTTATCATTCACAATGCAGATTATTTTTCATTCGACCATTTCTTTTTATCCACTCTGCAAGCCAGAGATAATTCCTAAACGAATATCCCTCCAAGCTATACACGCGCAATTTAGATTTCGCGGGTCAGACTATTCTCCAACCATTTCCATTGATCGATATCCGCCTCGATTTCTCGATACAACATTCCCTCGCTAGATGGTGCACGCCAGGACCCACGTGACGTCACAGGACTCGGAGCTCCTCGAGCGTTCCTAGCGGCAGTTCTCGAAAGTACGTTCACTCGATAGAACGACTGTCGTCTGGTGCACGACGAGAGCTTCAAGCAATATGGCGAAGTGTGTCATGGGCTCGGTGAGACGTAGTGTCGTTTGAAAAGATGAAAGGTTCGCGGTATGGGTTGAGAATAATGTAGCGCTATGAAGATCGTGTGAATATTCTATTTGTGTATAAAAAAGCATCGAGCAGTTCCTTGTGATCGGGATATACAGTGCGCGTTACCGGTGTGAAATCATGGCTACGGATAAAATAAAGGTTGCCGTACGGGTTCGGCCGTTCAATCGCAGAGGTACGTACCCGTTGAAATACCCGCGCGGACCGTTTCGAAACGGCCGACTTACCCGGGCAACAGTCGCACCGTCACGGGACAGTTTATTGCCCAGACGATTTCGAAATCTGTCCGTCGATTATCATCTAGCTACTATAGTACTACATTTTGACAGTGTCATTATTCCCTATTTTTTTCCCTCGTTTTCATTATCCCATTGAGCCGTGTTTTCACCTGCTACACGGTATCTGGCCTCGTTATCGTCTCGCGGTCCCCTTATCGGGCACTCGTATCGGCTGCGATCGTGCTCGATTAAAAAAGGAAAAAGAAGGAAGCATGGCGAAGGTGAACACTGCACGACTGGGTCCCCTTCGACGAGCCACTTCTCCAGTGTTTACTAGTCTGTCGCTCCTTTGTCCGAAATACGGATTCTGTGTCGCGCACTCCCCCGCTGTAGTATCCCAGCGTCCTGCCATGATTTTCACGGAAACATCGACGTTGGACCGTACCGTGACGTTCGTTGAAATTTCCCAATGTTTCTCTTTTCCGTTTTTCCTCTTGCTTCGACGTTGCTCGTGGGACGTGTCCACGCACGTCCCGCGCCGTGACCACGGACGGGCTGTCGCATGTAAACCCCGCGTGACAAAGAACAAACATGTGACCAAAATGCAAGGGGTCCTGACGTTCCTCTCGGCGACCTTCGGACATTGAGTGTGTTTCGTTGGTTCGATCGGTTGCACGCGACCCGCGAGCGAACGCAGAATCGATTTGTCGCGAGATAGAGAGAGGAAAATCTTGTTGGTCGCGGACGGGATCGACGCTCGGCGGGATTGTCACTGTCGCCAGATAAAGAACACGTTTCACGATCACCTCGCGATCGAGGATGGTTTTACGGATACGTTCGGGAAATATATACGGTCGTTTCTGTCCGTGTACGGTTGCGACAGAAAACGAAAGCGACGGCCGTAGAACTGTCAGCCGCCGCACAAAGAAACGAGTCTTGGACAGATCGTAAACGTTTCCTTGCTTGACGGCCGCGGATTGTCTCTCGTTTGTCGAGCGGATCGAGAACTGTCGCTTGAAAACAATCGAGAACCGATTCGAAATTTGTTATTCGTTTTATCGGTACTCGTATTTTTTCGTACAACCGTCTTTTATCGTTACAGCTGTTCACATGGGGTCTGGAACGATCGAGGAATCGATCGAGAAATCGAACCATTTGTTTGAAAAATTATCAATTCTGTAAAATGAAGAGTCGACAATTTCAATGGAATATTAGGTGGAATATTTCAGAATTCAAATTTGGAGATATTGACAGTAGAACTACCGTACCAGTGCAAAGTGACTGGTTTCCTTGTTTCGCAATTGTTGACGCCTTAAAAGCATTGAATATTTTAAATGATTTCGAAAATAAATAGTTTCAGTTGAATATTATTACTAATCTCTGAAGAAACTGAAAACTCGGTCACTACTTGATTTGATTTGCAAAATTATAAATTATAAATGCATCAATATATGGAATATTGAAATTAAATAACTTCCTTCTTAATTTATATATATTTTCTCATTAATTAGTTTCAAAGAACATTGTATCTCATCGGAGAATATTGTATATGTCTAGTAAAAAACTTTCGAGTGCAAGGGGTCAAATGCTCGGTAGTTCTAGTACTGAAAAGAAAACATTTAATTATTTTAACTTATGAACGATCCACGTTTCGTGACTATATGAACATTGAGGTTTTGAACTTGGCCCGCATTTTTCTTGGGACTATGTTACTTGCTTCCCTGGCGTAAATGACGTCTTTCAATTCGCTGCTTCTCATGACACGTTTCCTGTATCGACGCATACGCCTGTCGTGGACTGTTTTGACGTAACATGCGAGCGACACGTAATCGGAATATCATTAACTCGCTCGTTGATAAAGAAAACGCTATTAACGTTGCCGTTGCCATTACCGCGAGTTTTGCGCGCGAAATTCAGTGTCAACTCGCGGTTCTCGAGAAATGGAATGTTCCAATGAAATTGGTTCAGATATTAGCTGGCGCGGTTCAATCGAATTTACTGTGGTTTTCTTTTCAATGAAAATGTTCAGTAGAAATTGATTAAAATATTAATTGAAAGATATCGATGATAATATTAATGTGGTCGAAATATAATTTGAATATATTTATCGAGGATAGAAACTTCTACCGAGAGACTATAAAGCTATGAAGAAACACTAGAGGATTCTGTTGTCATATTTTTAGCTAATTGATATTACTTAAATGATAATATTCGCCCGACTTACAAAATGCTCGTTGAACGAATTTATTATATGGTCGTCGAATCATTTAATGATTTGTGAAACAGAATAAATGTTCACCGAACAAATTTATTCAATGCTCATCAAGTGGAAATATCCAATTTATCTAACAGACTTGCGAAAGGTCTTAATCTTGTTAAAATTCAAACAAATTTCGTAAATGATCGCCTAACAAATTTATTAAACACTTAATACATAGATTTAGTAAATGCTCGAATTTACTTAATGCTCGTACACTTTGTTCCTAGTTGAATATGTATAGGAAATATGAAAGTCTATTTCAATAATCACGCAATTAATCACGTAATTTTTTTGCATCAATCGATGCAGCAGGCTATTCTCTACAAAAACGTATGAATCCATTTACGTCGAAAATCCACCAAAACAAAAAAAGAAAACTGCGTTTAATACATTCTTCAAGCAACCAATAATCCCTGAGTATAGAAATAACTGCATTTATACATGAAAATGGTGCATTCAGTATCTACTGTGCATATGCATTAACCCCTTGTAGAATATCGAGTCATACTCGTGAGGAACTTCTTAAACAGAAGTTACAAAAATATCACTCAATTATTTTGGGTTTAAATTAAATATTACTTTTCCATAATTAACACTAACCATTCCGGCACTTTTCCTAGCGTAATTAGCCAGATAATTGGCTACAAAATAGAGATAAACAAATTAGATGATAAATTTTTCTTAGTGGAAACAGAAACAAAAGGAAGGATGAAAATTGAAAAATCAATTAATCGAACAATATAGGAACTCCCGGTACGGTTAGTATTAATTGTTATGTTCCGAAGTGAAGGTGTATATATAGAGATGAATTGGGAATTCTTTTTAGTTTTGCGATAAATTATTGAGGGCAAACTTGTCCTAACAAGCGCAATTATGAAAGAAATCATGGGACAAGGCGTTAAACGCTCGTCAGGCCTCCGCAATTTGCATCAGCCCTATTCAACTCCAAATATTCGCGAAGTTGAACTTCCGAATTTATCATCGGACATCTTCGAAACTCACGGTGAGTTCAATGCGCCGTTGCTCGAGTTACATAATGGTAACGGCAGAACACACGCTGGGCGCAGTGATGTCCATTTAATAATGCGGCAATATCGCGTCGCACAAGTCAATTTAAAGTGCGGAAGTAGCGGCGCTGCCGCTTGATTCAGTCGTAATAGACACCGGAAATGAAGCTATCCGATCCATTTTCGAGGAAAGAACGTGGAAAATAATGTCCCGCCCCGTTCGGTTCGAGCATCGTCGATTCCGCGGCTTCGTTTTCAATCGCGGGCGAAATGAGAATCGATATCATTGAATAACTTGAAGCTCGGGCTCGATCCGGATCGACGCGACTCGATCTTCGTGTGCTGCTCGGCGCTAGGTATCGAGGCACGCGTTTATTGGGTAATATTTCCCCGATTTCCACGCGATATATCGGGAAATCGTGCCACGGTAGCTCGGCACATTAACACTTTGACTGCCACGTCAGTTAAATTTGGATCACAGTATTTTTCCTTACATAAATATTTAGTTTCTCGGTGACACATCGAACGAACCGAATTTTGTCGGATGCTAGTCAAAGTGTTGACACGTTGGATGCCATGGGGTCACTTAATTAACAATAAAACTTCCGAGCAGGTAAATGGACTTTTTGAAATTCCTCTATAGAAACTCCTAAAGTGCATCTATTAAGACTTTAATTGATTTAAAATTCGATTTGCGTATTGCTAACTTAATTTCTTTAGTAATTTCTCAGAGAAACAAAGTGTCTGGTTCCGGAGTTGTTTATATCTCGAAAGATACCGTAGTTTCACTTAGATACCGTAATGAATGTCTGAAGAAACTGAGAATAATCTATTGTTACAGTTTTTATAGGGATTACGTATCAATTATATTAAATTCTTGGTGGTTCTAGTGTTAAACGGTGATTATTTAAAAGCATTTCTATATTATAAATAATGGTACCTAATGAGGTGACATTCAGTTGGATCAACGTGCAATGATAATAATGTAATTCATTCGAATGATTTAATATTATTTTTTCTTCATTTCGTGTATTTTGCTCAATGAAGTTGTGTGGCATTCGACGTGTTAAAAATAAAATTACAGAACCCGCGAACCGACCGGGCGCCGACGTTTATTTTTCGTTGTCGTGTAATATGCCATGGTAATACCGTCCGATCAGCCCAGCGAAAACAAACACCGCCGCGGGGATGTAAATTCGAAAATCATTCGGGAATCGTGGATTGTCTTATTTCTGCTCGGATGTTTGTGATAAATAGTGGGAACCGTGTGTAGCGGATAATGAGACTGGGAAAATGATTCATCGCGATATCTTTGATCATGGTTGCGTTTATAGGAAAACAAGTCGTATGCTAGAAGTTATGAGATACTGCGATTTAACGTTTTACGTGTGGATGTATGATTGCAGAGTTTACTATTGTATTATAGCGAATGGGTTTTCAAGAATAATTTTATATTTTCTTCTTTTTTTCTGTTTTAGGAATGTATATTTTATTTTCTAGATCGCGAATATGATAAGAATTGGAATTTTCTTTAATGCTTTGTTACGGATTTAATTGTTGCTAAGTTAATACGTTCACTATCGTCATGTTTCAGAGACATTATAAATATAAACAGTGTAAGCATTGTAAATAAAATATTGAAAAAATGAAGCTAGAGTTGTTGAGTTGTTAGATACGACATATCTTCTAA